TGTTGTGCTACCAAGCAAGATTGTAGGTACAGGTTTACTGCGCCCCCCATTACCATTTTTCTTTCGCTGAGAAAAACAGACGTGCTGAGTATTGCCAGCTCCTAATCCGTAATCTGGCCAGCAGAACATTCTCTACGTCTGAACTATTAGTGAACTTTACAGGAAAAAGTTCTAGATGATTTAGGTTCTTGGAGCCCTACCCTCGGGTAAGCCGTATAACGGTCAGTGGCTCAATCTCGGAACGTTTGAACTTCCTGTTCAAATTTTCCCAGAGCATCTTGTCATTTCTGTTCTGCAGATTGAAAGAACGGTGAGAGTTGTCTTTAAGGTTCATGCTTATGAAAGAACCATCTCGATCTGTGATCGTTTTCCTAGTTTCTCGAGTGGGTCGTGGTTGACGTCCCATTTGTATGATAGTCATATTGCCTTTTGAATTCCCGTGCTACTCCCGGCTGCACAACTTTAATGGTGGATTGCACGGTCAATTCACTAGCCGATTTTTTTACAAGACCTGGGTTGTTCAGCTTTTACGACGGTTACACTCTAACCTCTTTATTTCTGTTGATGGTAGTCCAGTTGCCTACATGATTTTTAGAGACCACAGTCGCATTTCGTAAGCCTGTGCTAGAGGAAACAAGTTTTCTGAAACTCTAACACCGTCGATGTCATGGCGATGCTGAGCCTTGGCTGTTTGATCGATACTAATGTTGTCATCGACCCCACATCGTGGTTCAACCATTTCACGACTGCTCTCGTCTAGCGTTGCTGACAAAAATTCTCTCAGTCCTGTCGACAGCATGGTGATGTTGCTCAGCAAATCCTCGGCAATCCGTGCTTCTAGCAGACGAAAACTGAAAAACAAAGGCGAATTCTTGGGAGAAGTCAGTGTGAATGTGGGTAATGATACATTTGAATGTGTCATTATTCCTAGCCAAGGATAAATAGTTCATATTTTCCCCAAAAGGTTCCTCATTGAAGGAAAATGTATCAAAATCAACACTTTAACCTTCCCAAAAACAAACACCGATTTGTGTACTTTCACTAAAATCGACACCAAATTGCCTAAGTTTCAGCAGTACCAATAAGTAAAACAATTAATTCGCAGCAAAATTTGGCGTCTCAGTATACCGTATTCTTCAAATGTTCTCTTTTAATTTCATGGATCAAACAAATTATGTGCGTGAGCGACAATAATTGATATCGTGGTTTAAAGGAGGACAATTTCCTTAAGTGTTTTTACGTATGCAGTTTTCAATAACATTTACATAGGGGAGAAAGTGAAACATCCACATTGCAAATCACAAAAAAATTCGTCTTTAAGTGCAATCCAAGGAATAATTATTGAGAGGTTTACTTAAATATATTGGGAAAGATTGTTCAAATGAGATACTCGTACACATCAACATTTATTTACTACATCTAATTAGTTTTAACATACTTGATGTAAGCGAGAAGTTTAATATATCTTCAAAGAATATTTATTTGCATAATAACAGAGTGTTCAATGACAAGAAACGTTTTCATCACTTCAGTTTCAGAACAGAACAGCAATTGATAGTTAGGGATATTTTTATCAAACGCATATTAAACATTAGTCACCCCACACGCTGAAACAGTTATAATCCAAAGAGCAGATATCATAGTCTGAAACGAAAAAAATGTTAACAGTAAAAGTCGCACTTGACTTTCCTTTCCTTCAATAATAACTCTTTTCACTTTATCTCTCATATTATCAATGAACTCCTGGGTAGCCACATCATGAACCTTAGCAAGATAATTTACGTTGACTTTGGAAAATATAAATTACGATGTTAATGCACTTTTAAGTGAGGGAAACTATAATGTATTCTTACTTCATACAGCGTTGTAGAATCTATACTGCGCCATACTACGTTTTACATCAGTACCCATTGACGTAAAGTTCTTTAGCAATTTTGGTTTTATCGGGTATGATAAAATGTACCAGAAGGATGTTTTCGGATTTCATCTGTCAGCCTAGTGATCACTGCCATCTAAATAGCAAACAATCTGTAGGTTAGATCGGTTTGCTTACAGATTTTCCCCTTGTTTTATTTGCTGAAGAAACATACCTAAGGAGTACAGTTTATTTTCAGTTTGCAAGGAGATCTTTAAGCCGGCTAGACCCCGCTAAATCATTTTGACTGATCATCCGTTGCATGTGTTTTCAACAATAGCATCATTTGTCTCATAGTTGCACACAACTCTGCGGCCAGAGCTGATAAAATTTTTATGTCCACATATATTTTTGATAATCCACAAAGCTTCAGAAAGTTTCAAATAAAACTCTCATCACATATTTCACTTTTATTGAATGTAGAAACACCGGCTGACGGGCAGCGTCTCCACTTCAGTTGAACTTCGTACAGAACTATAGAGATGGCACATCTACTTGTCTGTTGGAGTAGTTGAAGTTTTGAACAGCTTGAATTTTGGATATTCCACCCGTCTGTACTCAGCTTGCATTTTCGTTACCTCCAAGTACACAGAATCATACAAATAGTGTGATTGACGTTTAAGTTTTCCTCTACAGAAAATAAGAAGTAATAACCAATTCGCCGTTTGGGTTTTTCTATATGCACGGTTAGCCTCTCGTTGCCGGTTATCATATCAGTAATTAGTGTTTCAGCACCAAATCTTGCTACCTGAGGTTGGAATATTGTCTTCGTTCCCAGGCCAACCGTCGAAGGCATTGCGAATTATCTCGGTAACCCCTGAGTTTGGAGATGAACCGAGGGCGATTGAGCCAAGTTTATTTCCATAACCTTATATTATAGCCTCAGAGCTACTTGGTTATCTTTTCTAATTTATTTCTCACTTAAAAACAACAAATGAAAGTCCTGCGCCATCTTTAATGCCTCAGATGTTCCAGATGGATATAAGGTCATGGTTTATGGAAGCTCTCATATTTACGTGGATTTACTCAGTTGCACGTCGCAACGCAACCTCCATAAAACTCGCAAACTGACATATTAACAATACGGATCTTACTAATATTATTTACATTCACATGTGATAAAAACTATCTCCCACAATTTTATGATCAATGTACCTCATAAGATATCAAACTAGCTGAGTAACCCACCACAGTGAAGACTGAATCTTCTGTAACAATTTCATCTTGCATGTAAAGTGGCATGCCTCATGTAACAAACCGTTATTTGAAAATAAATTATTATTATTATTATTTAGGACTTTGATTTCGAAATACTTTGTACTTTGAAAACGAGCTGTTAGTCAGATGGATTTGTAACAAATTAAGGCGTGTGTTGTTAACGTCAAAATTTTACAGCTCAAATGTTTATTTACTTCTTCATTTTGCAAAGACATATTTTCTACTATACTCTATTGAATGTCTTCTCATGCTACGTCTACACTGTTTGAATTCCCAAAACTCAGACTCCTATGTACCTTGCTTAAGACGTATTGCAGATGTAATAATGTGCATCACGAATGATACGTCATGAGAAAGAGAAAGAATCTTCAGAAGACCCTGTCATAGCAGAACTTATTACGAATGTTAAGTCTGACAGAAACTGTCAACAAAGTGCAAGTAGATCACAGTAAAAGTAGCAGTCACCATAATGACCAAGCAGGTCTCAAACGTTCAAACAATCTGGACAGTTCCGTCAGTACCACTGGAAATTTAGTGCTGAATCAATCAGATGCGGTCGATCATGCGCCTGGCCCATATAGACTCCATAGATTTAGGAAACAGATAGCCGCTCCACGGGTCACAACGACTAAGAAGGGTATATAGGTTGGTCCGTCGTCGTGATGTAATGTGTACGTTTAATGGGTACGCACGGTGATTACTTTCCAGTTTTTTATATTTCGAAACGCTTAACAAGTAACAGTACGGATCGATTATATTCTTAACCGCCACTAAGCATAATCTGCAACCAGAAAATGAAGACCCACAAACATGTAATTTAGTATTTCTACCTTCTAACCTCCGTTTACTTGGTTTGCTGAATAGGTTATGCTATTGTGGAAAGCTTATACAAACGATTGACATTTAGACGTTTACAACAAAGAAAATCCAATAAATGGGCTCCCGTAAAGTCACATAAGATGTGCATTTTACTGTAGTTAGCAATCGCTTTTCCATTAGGATTTTGTCAATTAAAAACTGTATCTCGCGAACAGTCGTTAATGTTTATGAGAAGAATGCTCACTCCTGAGAAATTTCGGCATTACATCAATGATGTATAACAAACAGCTATGTCCGCCGGCTGAGAGTCATCTCTAACGCCACCCAATTTATTCCTGATTCCCGATTTGTGTAAAGAGATACACAAATGAAAAGATAATTAACAATACCACAAAGCACAAACAATTAGAAAACTATAATTATGTCTAAACTGGACATTAGGGTAGATAAATAAAGAACAGAAGGTCAAAAGTGAATTGCAATAGCATTGGAACAGAAAACGGAATTGCAGTGAGTCATGCATAAAACGAAATTTTACGGTTTGCAGAATAACTAAGAGACGCAATAAGGTTGAATAGCTACCCGAGAAATTGCTTCCGTTGTTTGTCATAGCTTTAAAGATACCACAGGTATTTCGGGTTTGACAAAGATTCAAACAGCAACATCTAATATGTATCATACCCACCAAGTGAAATCAAAAGACAGAAGCGAGGAGGTTCGAAGATATATTTGACAGGCTATCAATATATCGAGGAACAACTGATCTAGACTGGCTGGCGATTGCAAGGGATGTTGAGCACGGCATTCCCACACGTAATCTGGTGAGGATGCATGACCGAGTGCCTTCAGATGGGTGAGTCCATTAAAACTAATGTGGTCAGCATCCAATATCGAAAACTTACTGAGTTATTTATTTTGGGCATTTATTTACCACTTCATTAAACCCAGTCAAACCAGAAGTAAGAAATTAAGGATTACGAATTTACAGTTGGACAGTGGTCAACGCTTCGAGAAGTATATAATTTAGGCTAACTGGATGTTGTAAGAAATGCGTAACATAGCATACTCAGTTGTGATTTGGTGTAGATGCTTTACTGTGATCATGTATGTCCAGTAAAATTAATGATGTCATCATCACTGCTAAAGATTCGCATAATCTTTCATTTTAGGGATTTGTTTACGAATACATTTATTTCGGAGAAAAACTTATAAAATGAAAAGCATACCAAAATCAAGACTTAAAAGAAAAAGTTACTTCAAAAGATAACTCGGGTTGGGTTGCTAAACCACATAGATTCACACAATCTGTTGGCCCCTGAGCAACATGGGTTTCGTAACAAGTGTTCATGCTTGACTAACTTACTTATTGCGAGAGAGGATTGGACAACAGCCTTACATAAAGGTCTGTCTGTCGATGTTATATTCATAGATTTTAGCAAAGCATTTGACAAGGTTTCACACTCAGGTCTTATGCAGAAGCTCACGAGCTTCGGAATAATAGGTACTGTGCAGAAGTGGATAGGAAACTTCTTATGTGACCGCAGACAAAGAGTGAGGGTCAATAGGACGCGATCCGATTAGATGCCGGTCAAAAGTGGTGTACCTCAAGGTACCATCTAAGGCGTTCTGCTCTTCCCTCTCTACTTAAATGAGTTACCACTGCTGCTTAAGTCGTCGACATTATTATTTGCGGATGACGTAAAAATCTAGAGAACAATAAAAAGTGAGGCTGATCATCTGGATCTTCAAGCTGACTTAGACGATTTAATTAGGTGGGCTCGAGGTTGGGGCTTAGAAATCGATTCTAGGAAGAGTGTGCTAATGCACATCGGTCACAGAAATAGTTACCATTATACTATTGATGGTAAAACTCTTCCATACGTTCAAGAACATAAAGACTTATGAGTAATAATAAGTCATTGCCTAAAAACAACTACGCATTGCAACTCAGCCGCTGTCAAAGGTTTTTGTGAGTTTTAGTCACTTCATCGAGCTTTCAAATCGTCTGACGAGGAAATGTTTCGAATTTTATATACCACCTATGTAAGACCACCTTTACAGTACTGCATCCAACCAGCTAGCCCATGTCTGGTAAAGGATACTAACTCCCTTGAGCGTGTTCAGCGTGTGGGAACGAAATTAGTGAAGGGTCTTTCTAAACTGCCTTACGATGAGCGTTTAAAGCGCCTAAACCTTTTCCCCTTGTCGTATCGTAGGACTCGAGGTGACCTTATACTGGCATTTCGCATCTTTAATTATGATTTAGGTATTAATATGTCTTATCTTTTCGCTCCCTCGAGAACTAATAATCTCCGAAGTCATAGCAAGAAGGTTCATAAACCGCTATCTAATAAACTTAAAGTGGGGTCCCGTTTTTTCCCATCGAATAGTCAATGATTGGAACGCCATGCCCGAAGAAGCGGTATCAGACTCATTAGTGAATATTTTCAAGGAGAAAATGGACCTTCACGGGAAGGCGATCCGTTAGGATTACCACAGGTTCACCAACCTAATATGCTTATTACTGAAGACTGAATTCTGACAGTCTCTGTAAAACAAGTCGATCAAGGTCGTTTTGGCAAAAAGGCGGACGGATCTGGAAGTACCTTTGTAATAGTAACGGTATTAACATCAAGTTTCGATTACCAGGTTGTCTTAATAGGATCCCTGTGCTATTTCTTATTGTCTTCGGTTGTTTCAATATTAAATGTGAGTGCATTCCGTGTGCTTACATAGTTTTCGTCCCATCTTTTCTCTTGCTAACAAGATTAATTAATCTGAAAAAGAATATATATTCTTTTCCAGATTAACATACTGCTCTCCACATTCCCCTAGCATACAAGATACCTTTAGACTGGGTGCAAACCTAACTAATGTTAGATGTTACACGTGTAACGCAAGGTACCTTGCGTTTGTACCGTTCCTCTCGGCAATACACCAACTGCACAATAGTATCGATCATTGCCATCTTGTTCGAACAGGGTTCCCATTGTAGGCCAAAACATTCAGCTGTATGAAAGCTCAAATCGGTCAACAGACTTCCCGCTCTCAAACGAACGAAAACGTATGCAGGTTTCTTACTTCATATAAATAAAATATTAGACATCCGTTTACAAATTCTAAACCCTTTAATTTCAAGCGAACGTCAAAACTCCATTTAATTGCCACACTTCCTAAACAACCTACCAATATATCACTTGTAAATTAATATGGGTAAACAACTACATGCAAATTTTCGTGGCACTCCATAAACTATAAATTAAGGTTTTCTGTACCTCAGGAGTATGGAGTTATTCAAACTGGGAACTAGCTTGTGTCAAATACTTGAGTTAAACCATAGCATAATCAATAAGAGTGTTTATTCAGCATGGTAACTACTCATCAGACGTTAGTCGAACAAACTTCCGTTCATGAATTGAAATCGCCAACAATTAATACTTTACTCACTAAGTGCTTGAATTTAATCTTGTTGTCTTAACATTACTGCGCTTCATCAATGGCTTTGCTTTTAAATTTTCATTTGTAATTGATATCTCTTGGTATTTTGGAGTATCATCGTTTTTCACTTCTAGTTATTGGAAACTAAATACTCCCACACACTCCGCTACATTTTTGGTCAGGCTTTATTCTCACGGAACTGAACTTAACTGAAATGTATGTGTTATTAGGTCGATCACCTTCCCTTATTTCAAAAGCCATCCGGTTGAGTAGAACATTCAGCACAAGTTGTAAACTGACCTCCAGTAAGTCAATATCTTTTTGAATAAAACCAGATGTATACTATACCAAAAAACACGAGTGGATCAAAGTTAATGGTGATGTTGGAATTGTAGGAATTTCTAAATATGCTGAACAGAAACTGGGTGACATAGTGTACGTTGAGTTACCTACTATTGGAGACAAGATCAATGTCGATGGTATTTACTGGTATTATGACCACTAAAAGTAGATCAATGTGCCGTTGTCGAATCAGTCAAAGCTGTTAGCGAAGTATACTCTCCAGTGTCAGGTACCGTAATCGAAGTCAATCCAGATGTTGAAAAAAATACAAAAATAATCAATCAGTCCCCTTTAGATGAAGGTACGTTATGCGTGTTTGAATCTTCTGGTTCGCATATAAACCTTTTCCATCGATATGAAGTCGTATTTCTCAAAAGGTTCGTCGGAAAATTCTGTAATGTAATTAGTTACTCAAAATGAGCACCATAAGCATGATCCCGAAAAAGCAAATAAATAACGAGAGATGAAATTTTTAAAGTGAGGTTCAAGTCCATCCATTTTACTATCATCAGCTGTAAACCACGTCACTGAGCTTTCAGTTACAGTTTTCCAAATACTGAACATTTCAATGAGGTAGCCTGTATCCCTCCAACGGAAAATCTGTTGAGTTTTAGATTAATAATTGTTATCTTCATCTGCTTACCCACCTTAATACTGTTTCATCTTGCATCAAATATGAGTAGTCAACGTCGACTAGTTTGCTGTGATTACCCAAAACTGCGTCTGACCTCAAGATTATTGACTCATTTCCCCTCCCTGTTTTAACAACACTTCAATTTTTTCATTTCCGACTACAAAATCCAAATTTCGATTATGGCGTTTGTCTCTTCCGTACTAAATATGAAAATACTACGACAGGAAGTTATTATGAGGCTTACTTTGACAATAAAAATATGGAAGTTATGTTTCAACAGAAACCATTTCGAGGCTTAGTGGACCGTAAAGAGGCCATGACTTTCTATAAAAAAAACACCAGTAACAACTATTCACAACGTCCTATTTTAAGAAATAGATGTCAAAAAGCATCAACTAGCTCCAAACACCAAAATAGGCTAAAATTTCTTCATAATGGCTGCGAAAAATACTGGACAACATGATCCGAAGAAATGCACAAAGACGCAGTAGTGGTTGCCACCTAATTTCAGCTCATCAAGTAAACAAGTTAAAAGGTCGGCCGTCAATAAAATTGCCACCAAATAGACAAGCTAGTGATTAATTTTTGAACCGTTCTACTGAAATGATAGATAAAATGCTCCAAGTAATTCAACTTCCTTCCAACTCCCCACCATCCATCGTCCTAAATAGTGACTACCCTAGTGGTAACATCTGATTAAAATTTTGACGTGCGGTAATGCTCCATTAAAATGCTCAGGTTTCGTTGTCATATGGCACTTTTAGGATTTAGTAAGCAGTGGTTTCGTTTTTTGATCCTAATCGCAGGTTTCTACTCCTGAAACAAAACGAAATTGCTTATAAGACCTCGACTTATTTCGTTCTTCAAACTAAAACCGTAAATATGTCCCAGAGATGCATTTATTTATAAAAGGGATTACTTTAGTTAGTTCAAAACTACAACATTGATTTCCGTCTCCAATTTGTTACTCTCGCTTGTGTTGTGTATGTTCTTGTCAGAAAGTACTGAGAAAACAGACCAAAAATTGTTTTAAATCTTATTATGGCAAACCGAATCTTCGTATTTGCTGCATAACAGCATATGCTGTATATTTAGTATCATATTTTTCCTTTTATGCATGTAAATATGCATAGAGAAATTTTAGTGTTGATCCTGTCATCCTTGTTTCTAAAGCTAATATTTTGTAATGAAACGCACAGCTTTTAACTTGATTTTAATAGTTGCTGTTTATTTCATTTTCCAGGCTGGCTTTTCAAGCTTCGTCTTTCAGACTTATCACAAGTCAAGGACCTTTTATCTGAAGAAAATTATGATAAATTTTTGACCTCTGAATCTTGATATTGTAACATATTCTTCAGTTTGTTTCTTTAGGCATTACAAACCCCCACCGTTCCTATTTCGAACAATTAAAAGTTATTTAGCGTATAATTGGGTTGCTTAATTTTTCGAGACCACCTCGGCACATTTTAATCTTAGCTTTATATATTTTTACTTATGAATGGCTTTTGTTTATAGAACATAAACGTCTGAGTACATAATGGCAAAGTTGTAATATTTGTAAGAAGAGGAAAAATCGTACAGCCTGTAAATGAACAGACACCCATGAAATATCATTAAAGGCAAAGTTCGGTAGAAATACAGTCTAGAAAATTCCCCAATTAAGGAAATCCATCTCACTTTTATGAACAATGTAGCTAGGAACTACAGTGGGATCCTTGGCCCGCGCATAATGTCTCAACATACTTAGTTGCAGCATCTCTAGGACCCCAACTAAGCAATTTTAATAGACCTACAGGTCTCACTCCTATTCGCTTATATTGCCTATCATGACACCATGTCATGACCATATTTTCGCTCCCTCGATTTAGTCACAGCGTCAGCAAGTAACGTGCGGTGTGAAAAGTACCAGAATAACATTCGGACTAAACTCGAAGTCAAATTTTTCAGGATAGTGATACTGAAGGTAATATAGATGCGTCTAAACACACTCCCAAACCTCACCACTTCCAGCATTGTGTAGAACATTCCAGAATTCATAAGCACAGACAAACTCCACTCGCCAGTGCATTATCAAACTTTAATACCCAGTCTTGCACCAATACTACGCCAAAGAGGATGCAAATGGATATAAGCCAGCGATCTAAAACCCACTCGCTAAGGACTTTCCAAGCTGTTATTCCTTTCGAATGTAAATCCTGTTACTATCGCAATAGTCTTCCGTTCTTAAGACGAAGGTGAATGAATGTTCAAATTTTAATCCTTGGGTTGGCTTGTTAGAAGTATATTCGATATTCAAAGCCTGGAATTTGAGACTGTATGTCACGAATATTGTCATAAAAAGACGTCTCAGTATCGGAGCCGCGCTAAGTAGTTTGTGAGTATATTTTTCTCTTCTTGTACGCAGCAAGTCTCTGCATTGGTTCGTAAGGTGACAACTATCTTCGTTTCTTTGTGCGGCTAACGTTTGCTGCGTGGTTGTACTTCGTTCTATAGTATGAAATCAGAATATAGTTCGAAAGACTAGTAATTATTATCATTGATTACAATAAACAGCTGTACAATTTAATTGTGGCGTAGACTCCCTTCACTTTATGTCTAATTCCCCTTCGAAAGTACAGTTACACACCCGTTTAATATGTATTGTAGTTAGGCCTAAAAATATAGACAGTTCACGAACGATATAACTCAAGAAATAATCGAAACATTAGTTGCACAGTAGTAATTGGCACCGTGCTATGGTTAACAAAGCACCATGTTTACATTTAGCGGTAATTGAGATAAATAATCCCTCTACAGATATATTTCACTGCAAGCTGGTTTTCCTGAATGAACCGTTACGCGGCGGACCATCCTGAAAAACCTTATTGAACGGTCGTGGCCCGTGAAAACAAATGAGTTGAGAGAGGAATTTACTAACTCATGACAGTTGGATACATTATTTTGTCGCAACATCCATGAAGTGCCTGTAACTGTTATGACAGTATGATCGTCCACTGTTAGATAGACCAGACTTATATTTGTATCACTTAGGGTCAGAGTCGAACAAGTTGCCTGTGTTCAGATTTATTTGGTCGTTAAATTTCTGGACGAGCCATTTTAGTCGGTCAGAAGTGTTATTTATTTGAACGCGTAAACATTGGTATAAAGGGGCACCAGATACATATGCGCCACACAATAATAATGTGAATATGAAGAGATAGGAGAAGTGGGGACAAAAGTTTGTGTTTGGTAGTGAGATAAATAATAATCGGAGAGAGCAAAAGTAGTCAGATGGGGTTCTTTCAGTTGAAGAGGTCACGTTCTTTTTTAGGACGCTATAGCAGAAGCCCCACCGTGTTACACCATCTCTGGGACTCTAACCAAGGAGTCGTGGAGGACCGACCGAAGCCAGTCCTGTACAGCTTTCATTTATACCACGACGCTACATCATACACTGGCTACCTCTCCGCTTTCTCCAACCAGTCCCAGTGTCGGCGAATAATACACAGTGTGAAATTCTCTGGGACGACATTCGTAGAACATGTCCAAGCCACCGAAGTCGATGATTCAAGATGGTGACACTAATTGGATTACCGTCTCTGCGCCTAAACACACGATGCCGAACCTCTGCATTATTAACATGGTGTTGCCACTGAATATCAGCAATCCTTTGGAGACAACAATGATCAAACACAGAGTCGTCTAAAATTCTCAACTCGAAGAGGCCAGATTTCACAAGTATGAAGAAAAACTGCTCTCACTGAAGCGTTGCAGATGTGACCTTTTAGAGCCAGACTAACATCAAGCTTACTAGGATAAAGTGAACGTTATGTATATAATTCATATTCAGTCTCTTTTATTTGTATCTAATTGGTTGTTCCTTATTTTCGCTTATGGTGAGTCAATTGTTCCTAGTACGTCAATACTGACAGGTCATCTGATTAAAACTAACAGTAATGCATTTCTATTCATCACAAGCATCCTATTGCAACTTGGACCGATGCATATACGTGCCTGGTCCTACGTTGCAGCTGACTGATAAGCATTCCAAGTCAGAAGTGACAACACTTGTTGCATATCAGCTTATCAACAAAGCTATTCCACCACGTTACTAAATTGGATAGTTTAGAGCAATTAAGCAGTTCGAAATAATATTTTGAACTATATTTACACAACCTAGTGACGAGAAATCTCTAACCTTTGGGTTGATCAATACAGGTAATTAGATTTTACTATTATAACCTAAGTTATAATACAGTGGGGCTCCACTGTATGTACCACGCGAACAGTTATTTCCTTGTCAATCTTAATATTTTCTGCACGTAAGTAGTTATATTACGCTCAGCGAATTTTTAGCTTTTAGTCATTTCTTTCCTGTTTCCGTTACCGGTGGTGATCCCATATTTTGTATAATACATACTAGCTTCCAAACAAGTCGTATAGTAAAAGGATGAAGCATTACTATAAGTCTACCAAACTGCCTTAGTTGACTCGAATCAAGATGCTTCTCCGTAGTCGACTGATTTACAATGTTTAGAAGATATTTAGTTAATAGTAGTATATCACAATGTGAAGTTATCGGTCAACAAAAAGATACACAGACAGACGAACGACGCTTACAACTACAAATTTTCACACTAAGGTAAATGGATATCTAGTCCCTTGTATTAAAGGATATTTCTCCAATGAAGCTTATCAGTGTTTGATTTGCTTATTGTTTTCCTAGTGCACCGAACCTAAGCGGATTTATTAGAATAAGTACCTTGGTCATTCAGTACTGTCAACCTTATATTTGAAATGCCTAAACTCTATTATCATATAATTGTTCGTAAACATACCAGGAAAATATTCAAATATTGAAGCCTATTATTCTATATCAGGATATGTACTCTGTCGTGAAATTAAATGGAGAGAAATACATAATTAATCTCCTACCTACTTAGATCATTTCCATCCTTATAGTCATCTCCGAAAACGTACGGCTTGAGTGTTTCCATAAATCTTTTCCACTAGACATTCGATCAACAGCCAAAAAATCATGTCGCCGCGTTTTTTTCCTTTCATTGAAAACATCTTCATCCTTATACACTACCCAAATAACCGGACTATAGAGCAGTTCTACTGAAAGAGGTCGCGTGTTCCGAAATTGGTTACGAACCAATACGAGTCAAATCATAAACCTTGTCCTGAATCCCCCTCAGAATATACTACCAGCCAATTATGAAATCCTTAGTCATGTAAAGTGAGAAATTAGGCTGACGTTACCAAACTATGATAATTAGAAGTAATTGAATTATAGTATGAACTAAGAATCCCAGGGATAACGCAATTGAATCAAGAAGTACTACACAAGCACCAACGAATGTACTGTATTTAGAATTCGAAATCAAACATTCAACAAGTACAAAGGAGTCATTAGTTCATTCAAACACCACATCCGCCACAGCTTAAATTAGAGTCTAAGTGTCTGTAATCAATTGTACGTCTTCCTCTCCTCAAATTCATGCTGTGTCTGTCACACAATGTATTGGATAAAGACTCTGTTATATTTGATTTCTGGGATTGTGTACAATCATCATGTCGGTTGAGTACTGAAAGTACTGCTTCCTAGAATTTGAACCATAGACATTCAGACTATCCTCCCCCACGAAATAATGTCGGATCTTCATATCCCCAAGTTATGAATAATGTGGCTTCATTTAAAACACCTTTCTCAATTTGACTAGAGTAAAAATTCGAAGTGAATTTATGATAAGGACAAACAACAGTTGATATGGAATTATCTGAATTGTAATCAAACTCTAACTCATTTAATACTCGTGCTTCGCATTGAACAAGTTTCTCACAAGAAACAAATGCATCATGAGGACAAACAATATTTGATATGACATCAAGATTCGATTCTTCTGAAATAGTTTCCTCGAATTTATTAAGAATGTCATTGCAGAGTAAAGGATCGTTAGAAAAATCAGCATCTATCAAAACTACATCAGTTTTTTGATCATCATTAGGTTTATTCGAAATATTTTCACCAGATTTGTAAGAAATTTCACCAGAAATATGTGAATCATTAGGAAAAACCATATCTGGTACAATAACATGAGAAATCTGATAGGTTGATTCATTAGAAATTGTTGTCTCGCAAGAATCTTGAGTTTCATTTAACTCTGAACTGATATATGACTCTAAACTGTCTTTTGAAATCGTCGATAAAGATAAATGATCATTATAAATATTCAGATTAATAGAATCAGAATCAAAAGACTTAATATTAGTTGCAGCAACATGAACAGTAGTATTACAAACTGACTGAATATGTCCAATATCAACACATTTAAAGCACTTACAATTACGAAATTTACATGAATTAAAAGGGTGGAACCTTCCACAGCACAAACATTGACCAAACTTGTGCCCATCCTCGTCAACTGCATCGCAATTCCCAAATGAACTATCTGCATAATCTTGAGTATGCACTGGGATGGGGCGACGTAATGTAGTGGAATTTTTTATATCCTCATGAATTATTTTACGAAATCTCCCTTTACCGCATTCGAAATTTGTATACTTAGCATAGTCTAGTAGTTCCTTGAGAGTTGTATAAGGAAGAGAAATGGGCTTTTCCGGTATAGCCAAAATTTTTATTAAGCTATATGCTTCTTTTCCGATGAATGTGAGAAAATGTGCCACAATATTAATATTCTCATCATCTTCCTTGGTCATAGCCCAGATTTCGAACCTTTCAAAGTAATCCTCATAGGCATCAAAATCCGAATGAATATCTAACTGTTCCATCGCAGGCTCCATCGCGACGCCAATATGATAATTAGAAGTATTTGAATTATAGTATGAACTAAGAATCCCAGGGATAACGCAATTGAATCAAGAAATACTACACAAGCACCAACGAATGTACTGTACTTAGAATTCGAAATCAAACATTCAACAAGTACAAAGGAGTCATTAGTTCATTCAAACACCACACAAACGCATTAAGTTATGCCACATTAAATCAGTCAGTCAGTTACAACGTAAGACCAGGCACATACATGCATCAGTCAAAGTTGCCACACCTCATTAGCACAGTACAGACAAATACAGGATACCTAAAAGCGGTTAACTCACTGAGGTAATATATAAAGTAAAGGTTTTATGTACGGATATAGTACAGAAAGAAAGAATTAGTTCGTAGAAAGATATGGAGCGATTTTAATCCCATAGTTTAAGGGAAGACAGAGAGTATATGCACCGACACCATTGTAATCGATTCTGAGCCATGTCACCAAGAGTCTTCAACCATTGGTTACGATAGTCACGCGGACTCCAACCAAGTAGTCTGCATCTACCAACATGGCTCAGACTAGAAGTTAGTGACTTCAAGCACTGATGCCACGTTTTGGTTTGGCCGCCCCTAACTTCATTCCATCCGTCTCCAACACTAGTCAGCATTGCGCGTCGTGGCAATCGGAGTTCAAGCATACGTAACACGTAGCCCAACCATCTCAGCCGATGAAGATTCACAACCTCATCAACTGATTTACCATCATTCCTTAATACCCTACGTCTAACCTCACTATTACTTACCCGGTGATCCCAGCAGATGCGAGCGATTTTTCTGAGACATCTGTGGTCAAATACTAGTAGCTTACGAGTATCTTCTACTCTTAGTGACCACATTTGGCAGTCGCAAAGTAGAACAAAACGAACTGTCGCAAAGTATACTCGTCTCTTAATTGACAGGCGGATATCTCGCCTTCGCTATAGGTGACGTAGGTTGGCAAAAGCCAAACGAGCATTCTGGATCTGTGCTGAGATCTCGTCAGACACCGACCCATTACGGCTGATTAGACTTCCAAGATAAGTGAAGTTGTCAACGAGTTCATTTCACTTCCTATCATTAGTACAGTTGTTGACGCAGTTCAGTCCTGAGGCAACAACGTGCATTTAGAGAGGGGAGAAGCGCATCCCACATATCCTGGCATTGTTGCTCAGTGCTACCGAGAGACTCTAACTTTTATTGACGTCAATAATAAGTCGACCTCCTGATAGGAGACCGATGCCCGAAAATTCAGTCGATGAGAGCCACATTAATTGAGGTGTACAAAAATCGCTGCACATGAAGAAAAGATAAAATCCTGTTATCAATCCTACAGTATTGAAAAACATGACATGAATTAAGGTTATCACTACAAATTCCTGTTAATTCATTTATATAGCACTGAATGTGCTGGAAATTTTGCAATGCATGTCCACATTATATTTGTATGGTTTTTTATGCACTTATAAAATTAAAAATTACAACCTATTATTTGATTGTCAATTAATCACCTAATATTACTGTATATATCAGTTCTAATTCCTTTTTGAAAAGAGCAAGAACAAACTTTCTAGCAGAATAGCATAAATCCGTTTTATTTCGTTGGTTCCCGTCAGCTGCTTACAACCTGTGATATTTAAAATCATAATTACATAATGTGATTAAATTATTTACATGAGAGGGTTTATTTGGCAGTTATATTGAAGACATATTGGTATAGTATAGCAAGGGTGTAAATAAATTTAATAGACTAAATATTGAAAATATATACTTTATGTAAAAGAACATTCTACAACATTGATTGTGACAACAGTTCAAACAGCTAGAAACAAGTGATTATGTAATGAGTAAACATTGACAGAAATAAAATGAGTAAAGTTCAGTTGATAAAATAGGATTACTAACTTGAAAGATAGTTGAAATAAACCTCAATAATGTAATAAATGCACGAGTTTAAGGAAAAAATATTAAGATATAGCGAAGGAATATTAGTCACCAAGGAAAGGAAAGATTAATAACCATCCCCTTCCAAACACATAAATCAGGTTTTTGGCGTTTAATAGCAACGGCTTCAGAAGACTGGAGTTTGGCTGCTTGATAATCACCTTGAATTATTGCAAGGTATCGACCTGATGTTCTGCATCAAGATGTTTGAATGTAAATAAGCTAATATGACTTCTGTGGTTAATAATTATTTTTGCAGTATACTCATAATAAGGGCGTTATGTCAGTATGTAAAAAGAACACTGATGACCCAATTCTAAAGTATTTTTTCGTGAGATATCTCTGTACATATGGACGTAAACGCAGTTCGTCAGAGTCAGACGCCTGTGTTCAGAGTGTAGATAATGATAGTGATCACCATTCTTCCGAAGAGTATATGACTTCTAACTCACCATCACAACCCAGACAAAGAAGACGTCGGTCATGTACGTACGTAGACATACGCATGTCTTATTTCGATTGAATTTATCATTCAGGTCAAAATATCCCCATCTCCCAATTTTGGGGAAAAATTGACCTACTTTGGGGAAGCCGCAATGGTAAACTTTGGAGAAATGGCACAAAAATCCCAAAATTTCCCCAGACCTAGGGAAATCCTTTAACCTTCCCAAGCTCCCAATTTTGGGGAAGCCGCCATTATAAACTTTGGGGAAATGGCACAAAAACCCCGAAATTTCCCCAACCTTTGGGTTTTTCCCCTAAATTTCCACAAAATTATGCGTATTTCCCAAAACTTTTGGGTTTTTGCCCTAAAATTCCACAATATTATGGGTATTTCCCCAAACTTTGGGGTACTTCTACCTAACCGTTTTAACGCAAAACCTATACCGAAATCTCCAGACATCACGGAAAACCTTGCGAGAATACCTACGTACATTTCTTACTGTGATATTAGATTAATTTTAGCCAACTACGTCTTGTCAAATAAACTTAACGTCAATGCATTTATCGGTTTTATTAAAACACCAGTTATTGAAATATTTCAATATTTATTATAGTTAATAAAATATCACAGATTATTTAATAATACGACGTTTATCATTGTTCCATTTCTGTTACGTTAGGCAGAAGTTGAACTATGGTTTGTTAGGTTCTAAAAAAATGAAAAAAGACATTTTAGTTTACAATCACATATGAACCAATGTAAAACACAGATGACGTAATTTAAAGTTAGACAATGCTTTCAGTAATCCGAACAAATAACTTACAGTTACGTCAGATAAAGCCTGCGAAGCCAGCTGAAAACAAGAGGAATATGACAAAAGTTTTATCACTATAAACATTGATCACAAAGTAATAATCGAACTGCAATATGCATTATTGCTTTTGCTAACCTTTTCTTTGGATCGCCATCCGCGTTTATAAACTTTATCTCTTGCGTCATGCAAGAAAGCCTGGCTTGCTGTACCCATGGCGTGTATCAAATCCTTTTCCGTACAGGTCGCACTTCGAAAATGGGAACACAGAACACCTATCAATGTGTTAATGCAATAGTGTGTACTTACTTTGAACGGTTGAGTAAAATTTGTATTTACTAATACCCAATTTTTTTTTAGTTCCGTGCAAAGTGTAGTTGTCTGCCAGTTCCGGCGAAAGCACGTAACTCAGACAAGCTTTCGCTGATTTCCGAGGATCGTTACAGAGGAACACGTTTAATCTTCCCACCTACAATTCGTTCAAATACCTGTAACAACTTACGAAGTAATCCCGGAACTGGATGTTATCTAACGCAGCTTCTAAAGAACGCAAGTCCTCATGCGTTCGTAATGGAAATGCGATAGCTGCAGTGTCTACGGGCTCCGTACGCCTGTCAGTTACACCCATGGATAAGCGTTCGTTGTAAGTGATCAATTTATCCATCTTACGAGAAAGATCACCGACCGCCTTCAGCAGCATTCTCAACGTTTTATGGATATCACCGCCCAACCTTTTGTTATCAGGAAGACAGTAAATGCAACTTACGATTTATCTACTGCGGTCGATGTACATGGAACGGGTGGTGATGAAAGCTCGGCTTTTGATGAACTAATTTATGAGTATAGATTAAATAGGTACGTACTTGGCTATTGGGGAAAACCTTCCTGTCAAAATGTTGACAACTGGAAATTCAACAGGGGCAAATCCAGCTTCAACCTCAGCAACCTCTAGTTCTTCAGAGGTACATAGATAGTCACATAGTTTACGTTTGGCAGCCCTAACACTAAAGTGATTTAGTAAGCTGAACAAATTACCTCTTTGGCTTTTCTGCTTCACACGGGGTAGTTTCATCATCTTTCTTTATGTAACCGTCGTTGCATCTCCGTAGAACACTTCGAACGGATGTCGGTAGTTCAGGTATGTGCACGCGAAAGAGGTCCAGAATTTTATCAGCCTTTTTAATCGTTATATCACCACCTGTCATCATGCCTATGACAATTCTGTCGACCTCTCATTTCATTAAAATATGACTGGGTGGAGACATTTCTGAAATGACACCACCTATACATAGTTAATTAAGGAAGATACACTACCATCGACTGCAGTGCCAGCACACTGGACATAGCTACATGAAGTAGTGGCTGTTCCAGAGACGGTACTGTTACACTGCTCTGTAGCGACCGCTCTACCTACTCCGGTGATGGCAACAGTATTCTTGTCATCTTCGTCACTGCTGCTTAACTGATAATGTCGTACGAATTCATCTCTTAACTTGCGCAACCTTCGATAATAAGTTGATCTGGGACAGCCCATCAACCTTAAGTCTCTAGCAGCTTGAGCCCTTCTTTTAGCAACCTTATCAAGCTGTAAATTATTTTCCTGAAAGACAAAATTAACTTAAGTGAGACTGACGAACTACAGTAATCGAAGTTCCAGATAATGCTAAGAACTCACCTGCATGGCGCGTTAATTTTTAAAAAGTGGTTTACAGACGACAATTCCTTGTCTTGTGTGTGTTTGATGTATTAAAACAAAAACTGGTAGTGGATAAACTATTCATCTGAAAAAATCTTTATTGCATCAAAATTAACAATTTGTAATTGAAATTTAAAGTTTTAACGTTTAATAATGGAATGTTTATTAAATGTTACTCCGGAATGATGCGCTACACATGATTTCGGGAATTTCCCCAAAGATTGGGGAAGGCTGTTTAACTTTGGGGATTTCCCTAAAATGTCCCCAAACTTTGGGGAAGGCTGATTAACTTTGGGGATTTCCCCAAAATATTCCCAAAGCTCCCCAAAATTGGGAGCTTGGGATGAGCTTCCCATTTCATAACGCACTATATTCAGATTTACTCAGAAGTACGAACATCTGGGAACCCACTTACCACGGGTATACACCTATGTGAGTAAATTAACCGATACTCATTAGTCGTCCTTGACCTTGACAGGGACAGATGATCACTAAGACCCTACACAATGATGAAGATCATTCATCTGATTACTTTATTATTTATTTACTTTAGTAAGGTATAATGTAAAAAATACGATAAGCGCTGTATTCAAGCTGTTTTACGATAGCTGACGTTTTGATACTTAGTTAAATTACGCAACAAATACAGGTCAAGTCACCCACTGTGGAAGAAGCTTCCGGATCAATAGACTTCTACATACACTAGGAAAAATGCAAGATCCTCATAAACAACACGGAGAACACCAACCCAATTACACTGGATGGAGAAACCCTGGAAGATGTGGAAACATCCACATATCTGGACAGCATCATCGACGAACAAGAAGGATCTAATACAGATGTAAAGTCGATATGGGCGGCCTATGCTCCTCGATGAATGTTAATAGGCGCGTGCAATTAATACACAACGAGATGTGGTTATCGCCACTTGAATGGAAGGATAATGAGAATGCTTTTAACATGGAAATTGCAGCTCGCTTGAATTTCGTTCGAGGGTACTGAGAACCAGTCAAAGAGTAGCTTAAAAATGGTTTGAATATATAGTTGGATAATTATTGACTTGTTGAGGTTTATGCTGTCTGAGCTCTGATTCGGTTTGGGCACCCGGGCAGTATCACAGCCCTCACACAAATCAAATGAGATTCGTGTGGCGCATATGTATTTGGTGCCGCCCTGTACCTATACTTATGTGTTAAAATAAATAAATGCTGTCTGAGCAGAATAGCTTCATTTAGGGATAGGCAGCATAGTGCACCCAGTCCTGATATGGTGTGTATGCTTGACCAAGCGCTTTTAGTCGTAGGTGCATCCAGTAAAACTAATGAGGTTGTAGGGTCAGTGAAATTCCACTGAGCCCTAGCCAAATCATCTGGTAGTTGGGTCATTGAATATCGAACAAATCATCAAGGATGGCCAACGCGCATAAGTTGATCGTACGCCATGTACTGGCCCATGCGACAGTGGTCTCACCTTTGCTTGTATCTACTTTAAATAATATATTTCTGTAATAACGTCCTTTGTGTTGTACAGTCTTCAAAGCATCTATAGTACCTTGATACGTCAATGGGGTAATCCACGTGAGGTGCTGACCGCGAAGTGTGACTTCGACGTTAGCTAGTTTGTCACACCACTCACGTCTAACTCGAGTAAGCCTCCAATCATTTCGACATAGATCATCCACGCTGGTGATCTACAAGGTCGTCATCAACGTCAAAGATTTACGTAACTAATGACTCATATGTCTTATATGCCACCACGATCATGGCAATGAAGTACACAGAAATCAGTTTGGTTCACGTTCTCGGTGAAATACATTTGAACGTTAGGCATTTTAATTATTCTGGACAACTTTAAGGATCACCAACGTAGATGATCTATGCCAAATTATTGGGGGTCTACCCGAGTTAGATGCGAATGGTGTTACGAACCAGCTAACTTCGAAGTCATACTTTGTGGTCAGTTCACAACGTGTATTACGCTTTTGTTGTATCAAGACACCATGGCTAAGTTGAAAACCGTATAATACAAAAGACATTATTGAGGAAATATATCAGTACGAACGGGTACAACCAAGATGGTCTGACCACCACCTCATAGGTCAGTCCATGGCGTGCAGTTGACTGATGCGGGTTTACTGTTCTTGACTTTGACATGGACCGATGAATTGTTCGACATTCAGTGACTCAACTGGCGGATGATTTGGCTAAGACTCAGTAACATTCTGCTGGGCCTACATCTTGAAGCAGAAGTAAACGATTTATGACCGGTGACAAGATGATATTATAGAAATTCAAAGCTTGTCAAAAGAAATATGCTTTTTGAACATTACTGACGAATAGAGAAATAGATATCTCCACAGTTTTCCTAAATTTTGACGACCGGATGAATTTGTATTCATGACCGCATCGTGAAACACAGGAAATCTAGGCAATCAGAAAACAGTCGGAACATTTACAAGTCAATTTATTTACCTGGTAGTCGGGCTAATGCCGATACCTAGTGTTTTCAGTTTTGCTGACTTCGTATTATCGAACTATCTACGGATCCATTTTTGTGTAGTCTGTAAACTGATTAGCGTCATTAGCTGAAGGTATAATCTCGTCTTTCGTTGTTCCAACTAACATGATTATCGTAATGGTTCGGCTCTGTGTATTAGAATGTTAAATCTACTTATATCACGTTGTTTAAGCGACTCAGATTTCAAACAAGTGAAAATACGTATTCATGAAGTTAACTTACTCAGCCCTTTTTTAAGTACAGAGTGATTCCGTTTACAGCATATTCTTAAGTCTAAAATCGCTCGTTGCGTCCTAAATTACTAGTATATGGTCATGCTTTGTGGGCAAGTGCAACTGCCTTGTATTTAAATTGTTGTTTGTACTGGTAGGCGTTTGATGAATTCGACTGAATAATATAGATCTCTCGAAGCAATATGTTTCAACTCATCACAGACTGTTGCATGATATGGCATCAGTTCGAAATCAGTGGTGAAACAACCAACAACCTCAACGAAATTGAAGAATTGACCACAATTCAAAAAGTGTAAACAATAATAGTGTATTCCCTAATAACAGTCTGTTACATGAGGCATGCCACTTTACATGCAAGATGAAATTGTTACAGAAGATTCAGTCTTCACTGTGGTGGGTTACTCAGCTAGTTTGATATCTTATGAGGTACATTGATCATAAAATTGTGGGAGATAGTTCTTTTCACATATGAATGTAAATAATATTAGTAAGATCCGTATTGTTAATATGTCAGTTTGCGAGTTTTATGGAGGTTGCGTTGCGACGTGCAACTGAGTAAATCCACGTAAATATGAGAGCTTCCATAAACCATGACCTTATATCCATCTGGAACATCTGAGGGATTAAATATGGACAAATTCACTCGTCCCACATGCGTTATATTTGTCTTATCTTGAGAGGGCTGAAAGAGAGTAAGAAAAGGCGAAAAGTAAAGCGGATAATATTCATGATCATTGAAATTGAGTCATTTGTTGTAAAACAATGAAGTTACGACTACGTAGTCTAATTTTTTATTACTAATGTACTTTTTAAGCAAGAGTATTCTAGCAGGTCAAAGAAAACAAGCGTAAATATGGTATGAATGGACAAAAAACTGTATAAATGGAGATGGTTCAAGATGAAGCTGGAAGTATAGAATTGTGTGAAGTTTTAAAATATAGTATTGAGAACAGTATTCTGATACAAAAATGTATATCTTTCTTCTTGTCGAAGCTATTTCAGCTCATTTCCACTGATTTTATAGGGTCATAGGCAGGCTCAGTTTTTAGCAGATTGTCTAGCTTTACTTGTAATAAGATTACTTTTTAAGAAAGGTAACTAATTCAACGCCACAAGCGTGATTTAAGGAGGTGTATTGTACAATAAATTATCATCAATACCATTGGTTCGTGATATCCCATGTGGCCATAAGGAGCAGTAATTTAACAAATATTTTGCCCCACAGACATGGGTGGATTGGAGTTATCTCCCCTCCACCATGTTTGCTGGTCGGTAACACCACCCGCCCTACTTTTGTGATGTTAGGCTCTCTTCAGTCCAGGCAATAGTTGATGGGGCTCTTTAGTATCACGTAATAGTGTTATTGGTCTTTGCAACGCAATGGTTTTCGTTGTTTTACTGTAGGCAATGTATATGCGTTGTTTCTGAGTTTGTAAACTGGGTCGTAGATTATGATTGGGCTGGAGGTTAGAAAGGCGAGTCCATATATTGCTTTGTATAAAAATACTATATTGTTCTTTAACCGACGATACCATAAATGTTTTAAGGAGAGGTGCTTACATTTGTCTGCGTAGTTTAGAGTGGAGTTACATTCTAGCGGTCGGCGTGTGAAGCGTCTCTGGACAGCTACTTCTATCTTGTCTGTGGCATTTATGTTTGATAAGATAAAAAACCAATATCCAAGGAGAATCATATACACATTTTGCAAAAAGTAAGCCCAGCCGCTGTTCTGGGATAATTTCTCATTTTGAAGCCAATTAGCCGTCTAGATTTAAAAATAATAAAAGAGGCATGTTCTTCAAACTTAAGGCTTCCTGTTTAAGTGATACCTGGATCGTGCACTGGTTTGGGTGTTTGAACTTTACTTTTATTTAAGCAAAGTCGTAAACCATAGGGATGTTTCCCGAAATGCATGATCCCACACTTGTTGAGGTTAAATGGTAATTGCCGTTTTCCACTCCAGATAGTTTATTGAGATCACTTTGAATTCGGGATACACTTTCGCTTAGAAATTTAGACTCAAATCTGTATGCTGTTTTGAGGCCATTCAGTGTATAAGCATGGTCTCCCAATTTTTATGGTGTTACATATATCATTTACATACATAGGAAAAAAGAGTGGACGTGATAAACTCCCCTAGATGACTCCACTAGTTATTGGTCTAGGTGATGAGAGGAATACATTGTACTTTAACATTTGTTTACGTTCTGTTAAGAACGAAGCAAACCGTGAGTATAGTGGGTTGTTTATTCCGAAGGACCTTAGTTTGACAAGAAGCCT